AGCCCGAAAAACCCACAAGAACCATCAGATCCCGGCCATGAAAGCCTTCGCGAGTACGGAGAACCTCGCAATATCTATCATCACACGTGATAATCCGGAGGCGGCTCCCGAAGCATTTCAAGAACAATAGAAGACACCCCCCCCACCCTCCCAATGCACTCCAACGGCCGTTCCGGGTTCGCGGTTAGAGCAGACCATGAAGTCTCGACGGATGGAGGGGGAGGGGCGTTACCCCGAGGGGTAACGAGGGCAGAGTACCGTTCCCCAGGGGGCGTTCCCGTTAAGAAGAGGCGGGGGCGGAGGAGGGAAATGGCTCGTTTACCTGCTCACTGAAGCAGCTCAGGACGCTCTCGGCCTCGTCGCACGCTCTGACAGCCGCCAGGGCCGCTTCCAGCGCCATTGTGGAGAGCAGCGGGGCCCGGGCGGACTCGTCCCGCTCTTCCTCGCCAGTGTGCGCCGTCGCCGCGGTAACGGGCTCTTCGGCTCTCAGGAGTGGCAACAGGAGCCTCTCTTTTCCTGACCTTTTTACCTTTCACCTCAGATGACGCCACGGGGAAGACAGCCGCCGGGCGTTGCGGAGCAAATATATTCCCCCGATTGGCTGCCAGGGTGCCGAGGGGGCGGAGACGTCTGCTGCTATTGGCTGGATTCTGTTTCAGGGTGAGGGAATGCGGGAGAGATAGGCGCGGCCGCTTTCAGGGAGGACTACGTTTCCCGGCAAGCTTTGCGCCCCGCTTAAGAAAGGTCTGTGGCTTTGGGGGGGGTAACTCAAGGGAGGGGCGCTGTTGGGCAAAGCGGAAAAGAAACGGTCTTATGAGATAGTCGAATAACAATTCTTCTTTGTTTCTAATTCTTAAGATCGCTGATAGAGACAAAGGGATTCTGTCCGATTATTATCCCATATTAATTTACCCGGATGTCCCTCTGAATTAAACAGTGTTTACTTCTAAATGCGCAGTTATAAGATTGCGAGTAAATAAGGTGAGGTTCATCTTGCAGTGAACTATGGTGCCTGTTCCTTCAACTCCTATTCCAACGTCTTATCTCCTAAGTGGCATTTGATTACCTGACAAAGAGTTCATACCAACAAGGTGTTGGACAAAGGAAAATAAAGAAAGCTTATTTCTAGTGCAAAGTACTTATAATCCGTGTAACAAGTATAGTAAGTGAAAATAGCCTCGATTTATGAGCAGTTTTGCTTCGGTTTACAAGCTTTTCATATCTAATGCTGCCCCTCTTCATGGATTTTTTCCCCAACTGGGGAAAAAAAGCAATTTTTCAGAACTATCAAAATAATGCATTTCCTCACACTGGCGAGGAAATTCATTCATTCATTCATTCATTCATTCATTCATTCATTTATTGTCATTGTAAGTATATACACAGTATACCCATAAAATGAAATTCAGGTTGATCATTTTAAAAAACAACCTATTTGGTAGAATGGTATTAAAAGCAGAGCATAAGTTCCCTGTTGTTCTAAGTGGCTCAATACAGTATGGAGTACAATGGACACAGCATCATCAGTACAGTGGGGTCTTGACTTGAGAACTTAATCCGTATTGGAAGGCGGTTCTCAAGTCAAAAAGTTCTCAGGTCAAATCTGCATTTCCCATAGGAATGCATTGAAAACCATGTGATCCGTATCTGCTCTTTTCCGTCCATAGAAACTAATGGGAAGCTGCTATTCCGCCTTCGACCACTAGAGGGGGATATTTTGTTTCTTTTTTTTCTTAGGTCAAGAAAGGTTCAGGGAAGGCAGGGAAAATACAGTCCAGGCAGGACAGTACAAACATTTACTAGTTCATGATGAAATGGAAAACTGCAAGTTTTAGGAGTTTCTTTGGCTTGCACTTTTCATGTAGGATGTTCTGACAGTAGTGTTAAGTTTTATAAATAGCTGCCCTTCCAAGTCTTAGTCTTCAATTTTTTTGGCTGTAGTCCCCATTTGGATTAATGATTGGTTTCTCCATTATCAGTGTTAAAGTTGTGTAATTAATAGTTATGTAATTAATCAAGTTATGATGGAAGATACATGGCTTCATTGGAGGAATAGGAGACCTTTGGCTCTTGATGTTTTTAGTATAGGCAACAGTCAAGTCATTTCAGGAACATTTGGAGGGCATAGTTTCTTCATGCCATCTAAGAGCCATTTGTACAGTGACAGATGTGCTGCCGACATTACTTCCACATGGCTGGGGCAGCACAGGAAGAAGATTCTAGATCAGGGGTGTCCAACCTTTCACCTTCCCTGGGCCACATTAGAAGATGAAAATTTGGTTTGGGCCGCACATACATTTGGTTTGGGCCGCATGAGGGGGCAGCCCTAGCCGTCCTCTGCAGCCCCGCTCCAAGCGTGCTTACCGGCAGCTGCAATCTCAGACAGCAGAGGCTGCCAGCTTCAACTCCGGTGGCTTTATGGGGCTGGGAGGGGCTCCACCTGTTGACGGGGACGGCACAATGCAGTCACGCAGCCCCCCTTTCCCCTCCCCTCCCGCTCCTTACTTCCTTCCCTCTCTCCCCCGCTACCGTTGTGACGTGCCCCAGCCGCATTCCGGCCGCAAGTGCCGACAGTGTAACTTGAAACTTTGGAATTTCTTTAAAAATAAAAAATTGCACTGGGCCGCATTATGAGCCGACCTGGGCCGCATGCGGCCCTCGGGCCGTAGGTTGAACAAGCCTGTTCTAGATGATCCTGTGTTTCTCCGAAAATAAGACAGGGTCTTGCATTAATTTTTGCTCCAAAAACGCATTAGGGCTTATTTTCAGGGGATGTTTTTTTTTCATGTACAACAATCTTTTGTTGTTAAGTCGTGTCCGACTGGTGGTGACCCCATGGACCAAAGTACGCCAGGCCCTCCTGTCTTCCACTACAGTCATGTCATCTTCTTCTGGTTGCCACACAATGATGGAGGGTGGGGTTTCACTTAACTGGGGCTTATTTTTGGGGTAGGGCTTATATTATGAGCATCCTGAAAATCATTCTAGGGCTTATTTTCGGGGAAACATGGTACTATCACCCTTATATGGTTTGGAATGCCCAAGGCCTTATCCATGTTCCCCCTCCCTTGCTGGAGCTGAGGAAAAGGGCCTTTTCTATGTTGGTACTAAAATAACAGAATGCCCCATCAAAAGGTTCACCTGGTAATTTCACTGTTTCCTTATTCAGAAACTATTATACAACTCTTCTTAAAATAACTATTGCTGATTATTTTCTATTACCTTTTATTTATGGATTTTATGTTGTTATATAATTCCTTTATATTAAGGATGGAGGATGTGTGACCCTATATTGTGGAACAGCAGTTCCTAGTATCCCTCAACATTGGCTTTGTCAGTTGATGGAAACTGCAGTCTAACATGTTGCAGATTACATATTGGCCAAAATGCTGTTACTTAGTGGAGTATATTGCAGCGGAATAGGCCCATTGAAGCAATGGGTATTTAGTGAGTCACCTCTTCTGTAGCTTCCATTGATTTAAATTGACCAACTCTTAACTGCAACTTCATATACTGAACTAAGTTGTAATTAGAGTAGGCCTATTTGAATCAATGGAACATATAGAGGGGAGTTGACTGTCTAAATCCCCACTGATTAAGTGGGCCTACTATAGTGTGATTTACTATGCCAAGCAACATAATTTTGGCCATTGCAACACTTTTTTCATCTGATAAAGCTGGCTGTAACGCATGGAAGTTTGCACTATAATTAATGTGCTTGCCGTTACAGTGCCACAATAGTTGCTTATCTTTTCTCCCAACATGTTAAGGTTGCACTTCTGAAAACTCTTCATGTTTCCATGGAATACAAGGACATTTGCATTGGATGCTGTTTGCTTAAGCTGCCTCTGGATCAGGATTTTTGTGAAAGATTAGGACTGTGTTTTATTAAATAAAGAATTTTAGTAAATTCTTTTTTCAATCAGTACATCTAAATTTAATCAAGACCGTATCGATCAGCTACTTCATGGTCAATAGCAGAAAAAATAGAAAATGTAAAACTCCCTTTTTAGCCTATTTTCATCTTATGTGTTTTCTGTTATCTTGAACTTTTTCTATTAAAAAAAGGAAAAAGTTACAGATATAATAAAAGTTCAAGACAATTATTCATCGTAGCAGTGAGGATAAAAAGGAAGGTGTCTAAAAGACGACTAAAACTAAATATAGATATATAAGTACTTTTACTTTGGAACGTATGCAGCAACAAGAATGCACCAGAGTGTTTGCTGTGCAAAAGGGGCTATTTATCTTTGATTATGAATTTCTTACCATTCTGCCACAATGGAGAAATTCTCTGAACTGACTACCTATTTGTAAGTACTGTAGTGTTAAACCATATCTGATCTAGCACTGGACTTTCTGTGTTCAGCACCCCCATGAATGAAGTTTGATCTTAAAATATATTTTCTTGTAAACAGAGTTTCATAGACTCCCTTCCGGTATGACTTGAGATTTGAAGAAAACTACAAATGAACATCCATATCCCTCTTTCTCTATAGGCAATATAGATTCGACAATATCTTGATGAGGAATTTTGGGACATATGAGAGTCCTCATTTCTATGCAAGAGCAACAATATAAACAGATTTTTTGTAATTTGCATAAATTATCATTTCACAAAACTAAAACTCTTTCCCTTAAGAAGTAAAGTACACATATAGAATTACTGGCTGCTTACTTAAAAAGACACAAACACCCCTTCCAGTGCTTCTGCTTCTATGCAACAAAGCAGCAGTCATTGTTTTGTTAATTATTCACATTGTTCATGCAATTTCGCTTAATTTGTGCCAAAAACTAAATCTCCTCTTGTTGTCTTGGCAACTGCAGTACAAAAGAGCTTGTACTCTTGACGGGTGAGAATAATTTTTCCAGTATTTTAGTCTCACATGTGAAGATGAGACGAGCAAGGATTTATCTCCCTAATGAACATTGCCATGTGCCAAAAATGTCATATGGCAGAAGGCAACACAGACATTTCACTCCATTCTTTCCATTCTTCCATTTTTTCTCGCTTTGCTCCCCAATTCTCTATGTAAACTTCTACTTTATTTAGTTTCTTATACTTTGTAAAATCTGTACGGGTCCACAATCTTCATGGTGTTGCATCTCTCAGAAGTACAGAAGCAAACAAACAGTTGACTTGTGCTTGCTGGGTGCCATAGAGCACATAGTTTGTTTTCCACATTGCCACAGGCTGTAGATTTGGAGATTCACACAACTTCAAAGGCAGCCCAGCACCAATGGGAATCCACAAGGAGGCACTTGCTCATTCAGGAGCAACTGCTTCCATTACTCTGAGAGGTGCTTTATTCACTTGAAGAGCTTATTCATTTCTGTCTGATGTCTGACTGCATGACTGAACACACCTTGAGGTCATGATTCTAAAAGTGATTGCAAAAGCAAGTATTGAAATGTATTTTCAGACAGATTAAGTGTGTAGTTTTTTATCTGAGAGATATAAAAAAAACTTCTGAGTTAAAATGAATTATAAAAATAATAAAGGTTTGTTCACCCTAATCATCAAGAGTAAAATAAAAAGTAATTTAACTTATGGGAAGGCA